TTAGAAAATTTTTTACTCATTCATCACTAAACATGGCTGACACTGAGTCAGACGCGTGAGTCTGGGACTCGATCCGAGACTTACTTAATCTTGGATTTACCAGTCTATCAACGAGATATGGAGGAGTGAGAGAGAGAGAGAGACTGAGAAAAAAAGAGAGACAAGGAATTAACTCAGGGTGACTTCATTGGATGCAATGCTCTCATGGTCATAGGCCACAGACAAGGAATGGGTTAGTGTTTCAGCAGAAGCAGTTTCCTGCAAGGTTGCAGAAGGGAGTGATAAACAAATCTTTTTCGTAAAATATTTCCTAAACTGAACCATTGCACACCCCGTGGACTGGATTACCTTTACGCACATGATGGGTATTCGGGTGAGCGAAACAATTTCATCGTTTTTGGTAAAAAATATACATACATATATATATGTATGTGTATATATATATTATATATATATATATATATATATATATATATTGTATATGTGTGTACATACATATAAATGAATATATAAAATATACATTATATATATAGTATATATATATATTTACATTTATACAGGTATATATATGTATATACGTATATCTATGTTATATGGGTATATGTATGTATGTATGTATATGTGTATATATATATATATATATATATATATATATATATATATATATATATATATATATATATATATATATATATATGGGTGTATATATACATTATGTATATGGATATGTATATATGGATATATACATATTTAATATATATGTATGGATATATATATGGATATATTTATATACATATACATATATACGTGTTTGTGTATACGCGTATAGATATATGTATATATATACATATTTATACATATACGAGTGCATATATATATATATATATATATATATATATATATATATATATATATATATATATATATACGTGTTTATGTGTCTGTACACCGCATGACGTCACAGACGTGTGGCGACGCTGCAATCGCATTTTTAGCAGATGACGTTTTCACCTAGTTTTACGGGTGCAAAATGCCGAAATTGAGGGTAAACGGATAAGATTAACATCGAACTAAGGTTTTAATACTTTTATTTATTGTACATAGCATCAAATAAAAACAATTATTACATGGTTTGAAACCCACTGCACCTTCCCTTTAAATGACTGATTTGGTTATGAATATTTCTGATACTTTTAGTATTTTTATGTCTCTTCTGTGAGATTTGCCTTTGTACATGTGTCCAAGTCGTATTCAAGGTCAGTGAATAGCCATAAGTGTCTTTGATTGCAGTAGGGCCTTTTACTGCAATACTGATCGTATGCCCATTACTCAGATGATCTGAGGCGAAAAAAGGAAAAGTTAAAAGTAGGACTGTGTGGTGTATTGTATATTTGTGTGTCGAATGGGTTCGTAGTCAAATTGGTTTCTTTTGAGTGGTAGCGTGAATAGAGAAACCAACTGACTCCCCGTTTATATACCTCGACATCATCATAAAAACATAAAAAGTTAAATCAATAATCATTGAAACGATGTAGAGAAAGGAGCAAGGTTCGATAATATCCACGAGCTTAATAATTAATGCAAAACCTCTCAGACTGGTCTATATTTACTTTTATAAACAAGGAATCATGGCCAACTCCTATACACAAAGAAAACAATCAGGGAAGCAGGACTTACTTATATTTTCCGTATGATCTGAAGACTAGATGTGTGCCGAGTATTCCACCGTCCGGCACGTCAGGAGAAATTACCCAGAAGGATTGCAAAACGCCGTTGTTTCGAGGAGAGTCAATCAATTTCCAGCTCAACGCGGCTTAAATTCATAAACTTCATGACGCCAAATATCGATCGTAAGAGCGAATGTTTGAAAAAAACAAAGAAAAAAAACGAAATGCACCAAAAACATTAATAAAGTAATCCTCATAGCGAGATGAGACAGAGAAAAATACATACTCAATGTGGAGAAGGCAGAAAAACGTACAGTTAAAACAGGCAATTCTTAAAATCAGTACAAAGCTTCCGTAGGTAAGAAAAATGGACAAAACGTAAAAATAAGTGATAATTTAAGATGACAAAACTATCAAACTCATAGAAGAATCAAGAAATAATTTACATATAAATGAATCGCAGATAAGAGTACGGGGTCAAAGGGCAAACTCAAACAGAAGTGACCTATATGAACCAACGAAAAATTGAATAGTAAAACGAAAAAAAATCAACATATGTACACAGAAAGGCAAGAAAACAGCGACTGCATCAAGCGCTGACCGGGCGGCGAGATGTCATAGCGCGCTAGACTACGAGAGGCTGGCGCGAGATGAGGGGAGATGGCGGGATGCAGGATGCCACCTTACAGTACACACATGGAGGGAAATTGGTCACCTACGTATGATGCATCAAAGTATAATTGCGTATCTTAAATCTGATACGAATAACACACTAAACCACCATCTAAACTGCTCTCGGGTATACGGCATGTTCCTCCCTGCTGTAGGAAAGTTGCCCTGAATATCGTGTTTCTAACTACATATGATTCTTACTACTTGTGAATGTATGCGTTTATTTACATTAAATCTATATATATATATATATATTATATATATATATATATATATATATATATATATATATATATATATATATATATATATATATATATATATATATATATATATATATATAAAATGTGTGTGTGTGCGTGTGTGCGTGTGCGTGTGTGCGTGTGCGTGTGCGTGCGTCTGAGTATATAGTTTCCATTGCAAAGCTGATGATTAGGAAAATAACTGGTTTCTTGATATCCTGCAGCTGTGTCTTCTGAGAAATGAAATTCAGCGAAGAATGTATTTGGCATTATCCTTACAGTGCGTCTGAAACTGCCAACAATCGCAAATACCTTTAAATATCATTTAAGTGATTGTGTAATTTCACAGTGCGTGTGTATCATCGTGGAACCCACCTGATTTCTAATGTATACGTTGTACAATAGGAAAGAAAAACAAAATATTCCGAAATATAATGCCACTGGCACATGTGGGATCGTTCAAGGCTGCCTCCCTCGCCAAGCACTATAAGGACTGGCATACGTGAGACTCCTCTCCTCATAGCGACAGGCTAGCACGGAGAGGAAACATGATGAATTTGGAAGGCTCTCAGTTGTTCCCGTATCCGAACGCCTTCCTGAATGGTATTGTGCTTGTAGGTCTCCTGAGTGTTCTGAAATTCTTCACGGTCACGACATGGAACTTGGCAGTGGGTCTACGAGCGCACGTGTGGTCCAAACTCCGGAACAAGAATTTCGTTGAGACTTACGGGCAATGGGCAGGTAAGGTCAGACAGAAGACGGTTTTTAGAACGCGCAATTGCATAGCGCATGATTTTAAACTTACTTTTAACTTTAAGGTGAGTTTTTTGCTGATAACATTTGCAGTACGTAATATATATACACTTATTCTAGATTAAGAGAAGGTATTAATTTCTCCTGTCGTGTTATATCAGGGATACTTCCATGGGAGGTTTTCTTTGGACTTTCATTCATTTTTATTCATTAAAAGTGCATTTTATATATCACTTGTAAGAACATGCAAATTCACGTAGATAGCTGTTTTTCGCGCACTTTAATACAGGGTCGGAATCAGTGACATAAATGTAAACTTGGGAGTACCTACAGTCGGGTGCAGACCATACGTGCAATTTTTTTTTTTTTTTTTTTTTTACGTCCCTCTCAATAATCTAGGGACATAAACGCATCAGTAATTTAATACTATTATTAAATATGGGAACGTAGCACAAACGACTAAAAGAACAAGTGAATGAACATATAAGATTCGACGAATAAAAAAAAATCAAAATTTCACTGCACTTAGAGAGGTCATACCACGCTCTTTAAACTCCTTAACTCTCTCATTGCTCCTTCCCATCAAAATATTCTAATCTCCAACCTTCCCGTCCTCGAACTTGATCTTCAACTCGACCTTCAAACAGCTGGTCACTGGGAGCAACGGGACTCCCACACCCGTTTTTGCCCCAAGGAGGAAAATGTTACATAACTAATCAAGATCTTTCGTTATAGTATATTTCAAGTGTTAATGATTTTGTCATTACATTACTTTCCTATTTTTTCTTTTGCAGAAATACTTCCTCTAGATTTTGTACCTGCTCTTATCCATGGTCTTTACACAACCGTGATTTGAATAATGTAATACTCTCCCACTGAATAGTAAATTTGAATTGTAATAAGCCGAAATTAACATTTACTATCGGTGACATTACAAACGCACGCACGCACCCACCCACCCACATCCATACACATATATACATACATTTTTATATGTATGTATGCACACACACACACACACACACACACACACACACACACACACACACACACACACACACACACACACACACACACACACACACACACACACACACACAACACACACACGCACGCACGTGCATGTGTGTACATATGTATGTATGTGTGTGTATTTATGTATATATGTATATATTTTATTTATCTAAGCCCTCATTCGTATAAACATTCTTTTCAATTATGTTATTATAAATGTGCACGTTTGAGTGCGGGTATTTTGTACCGGAAATAAAAGCATGTCCGAATACAGCTACTTCCATCTCTCGACCAATTATAAAACAATTTCTCTTCCCTTTTCCCAGTCGTCACAGGGAGTTCAGACGGCATCGGGAAGGGCTATGCATATGAACTCGCCAAGAAAGGGATGAACTTGCTCCTGATATCTCGCACGATGGAAAAGTTGCAGAAAATCAAAGAAGAAATTGGTGAGTCTGTTCTCTTTGTGTGATGTTGCTGGTATATGTTTTGTTGTTTGTTGTTGTTGTCGTGTTTGAGTATTCGGTAGATTTTATTGTATTATTGTAGTAGGTGTTTGGGGAAATAATAATGATTGGGAGGGATGTAATAGTGAGGGTACCAGGTATTAAGTAACGTGTGATTGTTATTGTTATTGTGAAGGTATTATTAATATCAATGTTATTAACAATATTAATGTTATTAATATTGTTAAGCCATTATCATTAACATACATAATATTTACATAGTCCTGTATGTGTAATATAGATACCACAACCTCGCTTTTCTTCAATAGAAAAAGAGTTCGGTGTCGAGGTGGAGATAATGCAAGTAGACTTCAGCCATGGAAAGCAGGTGTACGAAGAGATAGAGGAACGCGTGAGAGGAAAGGAGGTCGGCCTTTTAGGTAGGTATAAAAACAGTGATATTCTGTTGCAAATACTTTCGCAATCAGAGAATACTTCATTTTCTTTTGAGGCAATCTTCACGTTACAAATACTGTCGAAAAAAATGTGATGAAATGTCCGTTACTGACAACAGCATCATCGAAGAGAGTGAGTGAGAGAGAGAGAGAGAGAGAGAGAGAGAGAGAGAGAGAGAGAGAGAGAGAGAGAGAGAGAGAGAGAGAGAGAGAGAGAGAGAGAGAGAGAGAGAGAGAGAGAGAGAATGAAAAGAGAGAGAGAGAGAGAGAGAGAGTGAAAGAGAGAGGTGCCTGAACGATCATTTCGTCATGAGCACCGACTCCCCTTTTCCAGTGAACAACGTGGCCGTTATAGTACCTCATCCTATGAACTTCGGCGAAGTCAGCGAGCACCAGCTTTGGAGTCACGTCAATGTCAATGTTGCATCTCCCTTGGCAATGACGAGAATGATCCTGCCAGGGATGTTGGAGCGCGACAAAGGAGCCATCGTCAACATTGCGTCTATTTACGGCCGCTATCCCGTGCCGATGGTGCAGGTTTATTCCGCCACCAAGGTAAGCACAGGCTGGGAACGATGATGGAAATACTCTTGCATGTTGACGGGAAAAAACACTATAACACAAAATGCTTATTTCTTATTGCACGTTTTTTCCTTATTTTTACCATCGATTAAGATTAATTTATATAACAACATTTGTGTATGTCAAGGAATAATTTTAATATTGCATAGTGTTAGGGATAATGCTGATTATTTGAATTCTGAAAATACTCGTCCACGCTGTCCCTACTTATGCATTATTTTCTTTTTTAGACTAATGTATCTCACTTATTTACGTAGTACCATCGCCATTACTGTTACTGCGGTTGTTGATATTGTTATTGTCGATGTTACAATTTTTGTCATTATCGACATTTATATTACGTTGATTAGTAGTAATATAGCTATCATTACTGTCATGATCACCATTTTCATCGTCTTCGTTATCATCATCACCATCATTATCAATATCATTATCACCATTCTTGTTTTGATTAGCATCATCGTAATTAGTCTAATTCCTCTAATTATTTCCAATCCTATCCTTATTCTTGTCCTCACCAGCACCATCGTTATTAATTCATATACAAGGTATTTATCGAGACGGCGATAATCATTACGATAATAACATAATTCTAAAGATTAAACAAAGTTCTATAGTTAAGCATCTGATGTTAATTTTGACGGGCTTTTTGTATATGAAAACATAAATTAAAAAGTAAATAAAATTCTATATATGAAAATTCAAATTTGATCCTGACAGATTTTTGAATATGAAAACAAATCCAAAAAGTAAATAAGTTACCATATGAAAACATTCGATTTTAATTCTGACAGGCTTTTACATGTGCAAACATATACATAAAGTGGTAATAACATTTTAGTAATTACGCATTTCCACAGGCATTTGTAGACTTCTTTTCCGAAGCTTTAGGATCGGAATACGAAAATTCTGGCGTGACCGTTCAGACCGTTACACCCGCCTATGTGTCGACCAGCATGACCAGCTTTTCTGAAAAGGTCCACAAACCAAGTAAGATTTGTAATTATTTATACGTATTCTTGTACTATTTTTATATCGGTTTTATTTTTTGAAAATATTTATCTGTGAGAGTTTTTCATATTTATGTATTTCTGTTATTTTCATTGTGTTTTTCTTTCATATTTTTTCTTCTATTATTTTTGTCTATTTTTATATTTTTTTCTATCATATGATAATAATATTACACCTAATATATCTCTTCTATTTTTTCTATATTTTTTCTCTTCCTGTAACACTTTATAACCCCCTTATTTTGTCTGTTTCCCGTTCCCCTTTTCTTTCGCTAGGATTCTTCGTGCCAACAGCCTCCAACTTTGCCGCCCATGCTGTGGATACCTTGGGATACACCTCTTACACGACAGGCTATTGGACCCATGGCTTACAGGTGGGCACTTTTGCTAGAGGGTTGTCTTGAATAGGTAGATGGACAGGGGGGTGGATAGATAAGCCAGTAGATTGATAGGGGAAAGGAATGAATAGATAAATTTGGGGAGATGTCTGAAGTGATAGATAGACGAATGAGTGTCTAACTAGACAGATAGACAGAAGGGATGTGTGAATAGATAGATAGAGGGAATGTCTGAATAGATAGAAAGGCGGAAGAATGCATGTCTAGATAAACTGACTAGGAAGTGTTTGGATATGTAAGATGAATGTCTAAATCAGTGGTTTTTAACCTTTTTACTATCACGTCTCCTGTAGGGATTTGTCCTTCCATCTACACACTCCTATGAACAAAATATCCTTCCAGATTTTAAAGAAAATTTAAGATAAGTTCTTAGTCTTTTTTTTTAAGTAATGATTAGTCACTTTGTTATCAGACGATTATTTGCCCATGTTCTCGTTAAGAGAATAACAAATATACATAGAGAAATTCCTGCTTTTTCTGAAGGGCTTATGACCCCCTTGGAGATTACTGGCGCACCCTCAGGTCAAGAACCTCTGGTCTAAGAGGAGAGATGTCTAAGTACACAAAATAAACAGGAAGAAAGAGAGTGTTAACCTAAACAAGATTTTGCATAGTATCAATCCGTCCGTTAAAATCGAGAGAGCGGAAAGCATATCGACTTGGGGACCATTTATAGCAACAAACAAATGTATGCTGATAACAAACATAGACTTTTCAAACATTCAGTTTGAAAAGATAATTGTAAATAATAATTATCAGAATGATTAACCCAATTGTGTCTATTGTTTTCCGCTTTTCAGGCTTGGGTGATGGATACTTTCTTTCCACGATGGGTCTGGATGAAGTTCTTGAAGAAGAATTGCGAGGATTTACTGAAAGATTTAAAGAAGACGAAAGAAGAATGAATGCCTGGTGGGAGCTCAGCAGAAGTGGATGGCGGGAAAATAATATTTGGTGGGAAATGTGTAGCAGAACTCAATTTTGTGGAGGGATGTGAAGGGAGCTATATTTGTGATAGACACACACACCCACACACGCTTATATGTGTGCGTGTGTGTATATACACATATATATACATATACATCCATATACACACACACACACACGCACAAAACACATACGCACACACACACACACACACACACACACACACACACACACACACACACACACACACACACACACACACACACACACACACACACACACACACACACACACACACACAACACACACACACACACACACAACACACAACACCACACACACACAACACACACCACACACACACACACACACACACACACACACACACACACACCACACACACACACACACACACACACACACACACATATACACATATATACATACATACACATCATATATACATACAAACATATATTACATACATACATGCATGAATATGCGTAAATGTATACATGTATATAGATATATGGATAGATAGATAGATATAGAAATACACACACACACACACACACACACACACACACACACACACACACACACACACACACACACACACACACATATATATATATAGTGTGTGTGTGTGTGTGTGTGTGTGTTGTGTGTGTGTGTGTGTGCATTATATATATATATATATATATATATATATATATAATATATATATATATATATATATATATTAATTTACATTATATATATTTGTATATATACATTAATACACACACACACACATACATATGTGTGTGTGTGTGTGTATGTGTGTATAAATGCGTGTGTCTGAGAGAGAGAGAGAGAGAGAGAGAGAGAGAGAGAGAGAGAGAGAGAGAGAGAGAGAGAGAGAGAGAGAGAGAGAGAGAGAGAGAGAGAGAGAGAGAGAGAGAGAGAGAGAGAGAGACGTATATGGCGTCAGAATGAAATAAGAGTATATCCTACTTTTCTGACTAATAATTTCCTGATCTTCTTTACAACAATTTAATAGGTCTACAAAACGCAAATCAATTAACTCCTAATTATTAAACAAGCTTACTATAATATGTCTTTTTTTTGTAGCCAAGTAGAAGAACTTGTTATTGGTGCGATCAACATCCAGCGGAAAAAACTACGATATTCGTATATATTCATATAAACTTGATGTAAATGCCCTTGTTGTATTGTGAATAAGGGAAAAATATATGAATTTATGCCAAAAAATGAGTTAATATATTGCAAGCTTCACAGAGTAGCAAACATTATTTTTTCTCTTTGTGGTTTCTTTGGCATTACACGACATATGTTTCTGTTTTAATAATGATGAAAAGATAAATAAAACACATATTGATCCGAGCCCTTGTTTCCTTTTGCAGCACATAAATTGCTTAAAGAACAAATACATTTCACGTTAGAAATGATATAAAGAGGAGACGGGTTATTCTGCACTTTATAACAATTAACTAGATATTTACATATTAGACAAACCGTTAAAATGACTGTTATCGGGCAGCTACGGCAATGCCAATTCCACTACAAACGTGTCTCGAACCTGCCCATCTCTGGCATCACGACACCACTCACCTCCTTGTTAATCGTCGATGGCTGCTGAAAATGAGATGAACTATCATCAGTGGGGCGAGTTTTGATCTAGGCCTCCGACCTCTCCCTGCTATGTGGTTTCTTATGCCTCCTTTGCCGTGTTTGAGACCTATGTGTCAAAGGTCGATGCAAAGCCCGATCTCCGACCAATCAAACCGTGCAATATGGATCTCCTGTAATAAGACAAAGCTGTACCTTGTTCTTGGGTGGTCACCACTGAACTCCTTAGCTGCTTCAAGTGTTTGAAGGTGTTCCACGGTGCTACAGGGTCCCTTGGGCTGCCGAGCACTGCCAAGCGATTGGAAACGGCCTAACGAACCCCCAAGCACACTCCTCTCTGTCTTTTCATGGACACTGATACTAGAAAACCTGTATCTGAAACCACATCCTAACTCCTTTAGTGAATTGACCCCCTAAGAGAAGGGATGGCTGTAAACTGCCCTCCCCTAAATGAAGGAGTTCATCTAACAAATTTGTGCTTGTCTAAGAAAAGCCTCCTAGTCTTTCTGAACCCGAGGCGCGAACGGGGCCGAACGGGACGGGAACCTAGGAACCAAGGTCTATAGAAGTACTTATATAGACCTTGCTAGGAACTGCACGCGAAGATCGCGCACCGAAGGCGTCCTCGGGGACTGGTTTAAAACTACTATTTTTTTTATTTGTCGAGGACGGGTTGAAAAATACCTTGTTTTTTCGGGGAGAGAGCAAGAAAAGGACCCCCTCTCTTTAGAATTTTCGGGGAATTTTCCCCGAAATAAGATCCAAAAATAAACCCCTTTCCCAAAAATTCGGGAACGCGGATGAGGTACAGTGGATCCCCTGAGTAGGAGACCGGACTGCTTTCTCAGTGGGATTCATAGCCAGTCTCGCTTGCAGGGTGGAAGGGGAGTTGGGCTTGTTCCTTTAGGGTCGCTGACTGGCAAGATCTACCTCCCCAACACGCATACACACACACATACATACATACATACACACATACACGCAAGCACGTACATACACATATATAATGTAGTGTCACATACATGTTAAATATCAGTCATGCTTTACATTCATGTTTAATATCACAGTTATGCCTTTTTCAACTCAGAGTGATTAAAATCTATCAACTTGCCTTCAGCTCTATTTGATTTTTAACTTTGAACAGCCGTAGAATTAACGAAAATAGTACATTCATTACTTATCGGAGGATGAAAGTCTTGAAATAAATACCTAGCAACTTTCCATCACTTATCTCACTATGAGATTTGTCTCACGATAAGATAACGACAAGCTCTTTCATTGATCATAGCATCTACGGCATGACAAACTGACCCTTGGCAGAAATAGCGATACGAACGATGCATACCGACAAACAACGCTTAATGTTACCCTAGAAACGAAACGTCATCGTGAACAAAAAGTTCTGAAGGGCTATCAACGTCATCAATGGTCGGTCAGAACAGAGGCGGACATGATTGACTTTAAAGATCTCCGGTTATTTCCAGATCTTGAGGCCGTAGTGAATGTTATTACGGTCCTTGGCATCCTGACGGCTACGAAGATCATAGTGAGGACGGCTTGGGATGTGGTCGTTGGTCTGAGGGCGCATGTGTGGTCAAAGCTGTGTAAGAAGAACTTGGTGCGGACTTACGGGAAATGGGCAAGTATGTATTAGATGAAAGTATGGAAAGAAAACGTATAAACACACATGCTAGGGCAAACACAGGCACGTACAAACACACGCATAGATAGATCATGCATACCCTCACCCACACACTCACATTCCACATTCGCAGGTCCTTAGGAAGGCACATAAGCAGGCATGAAGACGGACATGCAGGCACACCCATACCCACACTCACACCACGCCCATATTCACATCCACACACACTAACCCAAACACATGTACCAATACATACTTATAGTCATGTACTTAATTTTACATGCTGGCATTTTCGTAGGCTCTATGCAATTATTTACACTAATACTTTGAAATAAAGGTAGTAGCTTACATCATGATATTATGCTTTATGAAGATTTTTTTCTCTTGTCTGAGCAAAAATACAAATACAATAATGAGTGTACAAAGATGAATAGAAAAACAGCCACAGTATTAAAGGAATATCAAAGTGTGATTTTTTGTATCAGACTACATCATGTGGCAAAATCGAAAAGAAGACAAAGAAAATTTGATTTAAGGACAAGGAAAAAGAACTGGGTCGTTTTGTACTGTCTGACATGCATATATATCATATGTCTCAAGGAGTATCCTTTTCAGTTTTATTGTCGAAAATGGAATTTAGTTGGAATGGAAACATCAACAGGTTCAAATTCTTTTCTTAATGTAACTGTGTATTTTATTTTTTTTTTTACTTGGATAGATGATTAGATAAAGAGGATAAATGAGTTAATTAATATATGAATATTTTCCAGTTGTAACAGGATGTACAGATGGAATTGGAAGAGCTTATGCTTTTGAACTGGCAAAGAATGGCATGAACATTATTTTGATATCTCGAACTGCAGAAAAACTACAGGATGTTGCTTCACAGATTGGTAAGTTTGGGGAATTTTAATAAGTTGATAAATATGTTATGAAAATTTTGTAATTATACTTCTTTGATATTTTGAAAAAAGTTGTGATCATACAATTAGAAAAAAGTTACTTGTTTACTAATCTAGTTTTAATTAGTATTTAAATATGAAATAATTTTATTTAATTA